TGTCTCGGACACCTGCTCCCCTGTGATATCGTCCCTGTGCCGGACCTACGATGAGAGAGTGCCAATCCCCGGAGAAAGGATGCTCGGACCGGTTGCTATGGCAACTGGGTGACTGGTCCAGCACAGTGGTGGAAGCAGACGGGAAGAGATGGGCTTTGAGGGTGGGAAGCAGCAGGTCTGTGGCCAGGGAGGTTCTGGAAGATTTCAGGACCCTGGATTGGCAGGGAGAAAGGGTCCATGTCCCTTTTCTTTCCAGCACCGTCTGCTACCGTAGGTGTTTCCTGAAATTCCTACAGGCAGGTTCAGAGGGAAGGAGGGTCAGCTGAAAAAGCGAGAAGGGAAGGGGGAAATCCATCTGAGATTGAACCTAAAACAGATAGAAGAGACACAGAGTCAGAGACATGGGGGAAAACCGGCAGATAGGTGCGAGGCTCCCAGAGGCTCAGGGAGAATGCAGGAAAAAGAGAGGGAGAGGAAGTCAGAGAGACACTGAGATAGACGGATGGAGACAGCCATGCACAGGGACTCGAGACACCGAGCCACAGGCAGAGGAATAGAAAGGGGGGGCAGCATAGGGTGGGGCTGCCACCACTGCAGTGAACCCCAAGGGTGGGACTAGGGTGAGGCGACCCTCCTTCCCAGCGCGCACCTACTTGTGGTTTCCATCCTCGGAGGTGCACATCGCTGTTCCCCCATCCCCATGTCCCCCTACACCGTGCAGCCGCGCACAGTTACATTTCACACCCGTTAACCCAGATATGCTCCCACTTAAACGCATCCTCACTCCAGCCCCCGAGCAACCCCCCTGCTGAGCCTGGGTCTGCAGAAGAGCAAGGAGGGGGGTGCTTTAGTGGGGGAGGGGGCCTGGGAAGTGTTTCCTGTACGGAAGGCAGGGCGGAGGCGGAGGAGCCCCTGGCGGTGAAGGGAACCCCAATTCCACCCGGTTCTCTCCTTCCCTTCCCCCTTTCCCATCAGGCAGGGGCTGCTGCGCTGAGCCATATCTGCAGAATCTGAAGCAG